TCCAGATGGTGTAGTAGTGGGCAATTACCGCTGCTCTCTGGCAGGCAGGGACCTCAACAGGAATTACAAGACGTTGCTCAAGGATTCCTTTCCCTGTGTGTGGCACACCCGAAACATGGTGGAACGGTAAGACAGGACATGCATAAATAAACAAACACATAATTGTATATAATACATTTTGTAATTTAATGGAAATTTAGTGTTTTCAGAAGTCTTTCTGCTCTTTCTGATGTGTTTGTTTATCCATTAATTGTTCAATATGCAGGTCAGATGATACAAAGTCTATTGTATTTATTAATTTGAAGCTTACATAGAACAGAACATGATCAGTTCTTCCCCTTTATGTCAGTGAGCAGTTAGTTTGGTTGAGGTTTATGGCAGGACTGTAGTTTCAGTTTGGTACCTCATTGTATGTTTTCTTGCAATGAGCACAGATTGTGTTATTTTGTTTGCATTTTCTTCCAGACTTTATGGCAGAAATCATTTTGCTTCACTTTATGCCCTTTCACTAAACTTAATCTGTTGTCAAAGTCAATGGACTTAACTGTCTTTCCTGGAATATCTTCCTTTATTACTTAGTTATCAGTAGAAACAGAAAGAAAAGATGAAAAGAGCAGGAACAAATGTCTCTGACTGCCGATTGAACCAGGGTCTTTGAAGTTTCATACAAACCTGTTATGTTATGCTGTCCTTTCCCCAGGCTGGTGGCTGAAACAGATGTAATTCTTTACTGTGACTTTCACGGCCACAACCGTAAAAACAACGTCTTCATGTACGGTTGTAACAAGCGCGGTGATGGTTCGCTGAAGCTTCATGAGAGAGTCTTTCCACTTATGCTGAGCAAGAATGCCAGTAATGAGGTAAAGAGTGGAACATCTGAAGACCTCAACTGTTTTGTTCACCTGTTAGAAGTCCAATTACAAGTTCTTTATTATTTTTAGCCTTTTATAAACCTGTTTTAATTAGTTTAGTCTAGTCTCTAGTATTCTGGACACCATATACAATCTATGCAGCATATTCACCACATTTCAGAGTCAGTATCTTTTCCTTGGTATTCATTTATGCTACAACATCTAAATCACCCTCTTTCTTAGTTCTCCTTTAAGAGTTGTAAGTTCCGGGTACAGAAGAGCAAAGAGGGAACGGGACGTATCGCCATGTGGAGACTTGGCATCAAAAACAGCTACACTATGGAGGCCTCCTTTGGAGGCTCCACTCTGGGTGAGTTTAGACTTTCCAAACGTGTGTGTGTGTGTGTGTGTGTGTATGCTTACATGTCTCTTACATATTACCATCTGTCTGAATGTCAGGCGACAGGAAAGGGACACATTTTACAACTGGAGACCTGAAGTCCATTGGCTTTTCCTTTTGTGACACCCTGCTGGACTACTGTGACCCTGATCCAACAAAGGTGAGAGATAAAGCAACAGTCCAACTCCCTCCATCACTGGAGGGTGGTTTTAGTCCCAGAAATGGTTTGTTGTGCCCCAAAATATACATTCCCTGAATACTGGTTTTTAAATTTTTATTTTTGTGACTGTGGTCTTGAAATGTGAGCATTGTGTTGTGTTTTATTTTTTTATGTTTCCTCTTTGCTTTTTACCTCAGGTCACTTACTGTCTGACAGAGCTGGGAGCGTTGTTGAGAAAGGAGGTCAGAGAGAGGCTGGGAAAAGATTTGGGCACTAACTGTAACATCTCTGTGTCTGACCTGGAAACCAGGTGATGTAGTATTTTATTATTATTATTATTTTAAATTCACTTTCAAAGCCCACATCCCCATGGGAGGGGTATAAAATGTGAACATTTCCTGTTTACTCTCACAGCACCAGTGGTTCAGATAGTTCAGATTCTGATGGACTCCCAGTTCATTTACTGAACCAGCTACAAGCTGCCAATTCAGAGGTATACTGACATCAATCTACTCTCCAATGGAATAGTGTTTTTCATACGAGAGCTTTAGTTTATTTGTAAGGTTAATATCACATTTGGATCCAGTGAACGGCTCCTTTGTTAAAATCAGTTTTGAATGTCTTCTGTTGTTTACAACATGCTCCTGCTCTCCTCCACAGCAAACTCCCGTGAAGAAGAAAAAGAAACGCCTGAAGAGTCATAAAGAGAGGAACAGGCTGCGACACGAGAAAGTGAAGAAAAACTCACCGCCAAAAGTCCTACAAAGCAGCATCAAAAACATTGTAAATGACCCATTAATTAGTGCACAGCCTTGTCTTGTTCATGTATTAATGACTTTAAACAAGACTGATTAGCGAACGGTCTTTGCAGGAGCCCAACCTGCCCGATGAGAACACAGTTAATGAGAGCATCCAAGAGAGGCCCGTTGGAAGATACAGGAAAAAACATCAGGTATGAAGTAGAGAAAGCGTGAATATGTTTAATGAGAACGTTTCCTGAACTGTTCCTGTTAATATTTCTGTCTTTGTGAAGGTAAAGGGCCCCATAAGACAAGCTGTGATCCCTCCTCCCACCACTCAGCCTGGGGAGGTCAGTCAGGTGACTCTGTGGCAGGGCTGCGAGCCTGTCAAGGTAAAAATGAGCCAGATGATCTGGAAAATAAGCAAAAGTACACACATTCTTTACTCAAGTAGAAGTACAGATACTTGTGTAAAAAAAAAGACTCCAGTAGAAGTAAAAAAACTGATTGTACTTCTTTACTCAAGTAAAAATACAGGCTTTGAAAGGTACTCAAAGTGTAAAAGTAAAAGATTCAGACATTTCTACTGGCTGTTTCTGTGCAAATCTGCTAAATTCAAATAGGGTTGAGTCTCCCCCTATTGTCGGTTTTGTCTTGTTACATCTTGTGTTGAAAATGTAAGGCGTAGAAAGTACAGATATTTGTGTACACATGTAGGGGGTAAAATTAAAAACATAAATACTCAAGTACAATTTTGACTCTGATTTTGGGATACCTTCTGTGTTTTAGGACCACATTCTGGAAAACATGAAAGCTGCAAACCAGCGTTGTAGGACAAAAGCGTGTCCACATCACAGCATATACACAGCTCTGACACCTCACACAGGTAAGGTTTATTTTGGAGGCTCAAAAAATCATCCTCACTCATCTCCTCAGCGTCTAATTTACCACTACCATCACTTACCGTATTTTATAAGTTCTGGTTGCTTTTTGACTGATGAAGGAGATTTGGTGGAGCCTCATTAAACATATTTAAAGTATGTCATTGTCCAATACATACATAGTTTCCTGCAGATAAAGGCAGAAGTATTTCCAACCATCAATGCAGTGGGAAAGGTCTTGTTAAGTAGTGAAAAGTCTGCTTGGCTTGCTTTCACAGATGACCTGGGGATGGAATCAGGACATTGGAGATGCTCCTCTCAGCTGCTGTACCTGAGTGCTATCCAGCCACCTTCACTGAACCCACAACAGCTTCACTGCCCCCGACAATCCATGGTCTCCAATAAAGTCTGCAGAGGTTTGTCCACACGTACAGTAGTTCCAGATGCAATTCATTTATTTTTCCAGTTTCATCGTCTCTCAGTCGATTCAAGTCTGTCTCGTCTCCCTCTTTCAGGGCTGCCAGCTTCCTTTCGGCCCCAGAGGTAAACCCCACATACACATTGTACCCTTATGAATAAACAAGAGACAGCTACACCTTGAGCTACGTTCAGATTTACCAAGTCTTATATCTCTTCTTCCGCAGGTCTCCCATATCCATGCACGTCAAGATGATTCCAGACATTGTTCCAACAAAGTGTTTGATGTCCAGTTTCACCCCTGATAAGTCCAACAGCCGGCATATTCCTAGAGACAGAAGCTCTTCACGGGTCTCAGAACATTACTTTGTGCCTGAGGATTCCTCCACCTCTCACACAGACACAGCAAAGACCAAACAGCAGGATGTGGAACAGGAAGAAGAGTTCTCAGAAGGTTTCATATGCACACATATTATACTGATATATGAAACTGAAATTAATACTAATAATTGTGCAGCTAAAGCTGCATGAAAAAAGCATTTATTTTATTTATCCCTTTCAGGTAACCTCACTTCTTCCTCTTTATTACCTGATTTTTATCATCCATTCAGTGGGTTCGTCCCTGTGGAGACATGTACTACTTGGAGAGCAGAACCAGAGAAATCAAACCCCCGACGTCGCCCTGAGAGAAACTGAATCCCCCGGCAATTCATTTGTGCCTGTGAAGAGGAGCAGGGACCTGAGAAGAAATGGGTAAATTCACGTTTATTCCTCTTCATGTGCCGTTCTCTTGATGTGAAATGCTCAGGTTGTCGTTGTAGTGTGTTGACAAGCATTGTACATATTACATCATGTTTTTTGGCCTTTCATTGCTCCTCTCTACTCCCTAACCTTCTTCATTTTTCCTCAGACTACACAAAGAGACTTCGGGGAACAAGAGGCACATGGGTGTTTTATCCCCTGTGATGAAGAAGGAACATCCACCTCCACAGAGCGACACCCTCGCTAGGCGTCAGGCTAAGGACACCAGGCGCCATCACGAGAGAGGAGGCCAAATTAGCCAAGAGGCAACGCATCAATATATAGAGCCATCACAGTGTGGAAGTTACCAGCTATGATCACTGAAGCACAGAGTGAAGTGTTAAAAGACTTCTTAAAAAACACATGAATAATAATCCCAACCTCAACAGACTTGAACTAAGATGGAATTTAACAGGGTGTTTTGTGACGTTCATTTTTTCTTTTTTTACTTGTCTGCATTTTGTCTCATTGAGACTTTTTACATGTCATATGTCTTGTTTTATATGTATGTTTTGTTGTATGTGGACCCCAGCAGGAGTAGCTGTACCTCAGTGGCAGCTAACGGTGATTTAAGAGTAAAGAATCTCACTGATGAGACATTACACGTCCCCTTTAATGTAATTACATTTTTAATAAAAACTCTTTAAAAACAAGACAATTTACTGATGAGAAACCTTTATGCTTGGATTCTCGGGGTACGTCAACATGAAGTCTATGAAGCATTAGCTGCTTAATAAACGACACACAGGCTGCTTGTTATGTAGATTTTATTTATTCCAACAAAAACAAAAATACAATCCCGTGGAATACATTGTTAATAAAATACAAAAATAAATATGTTCAGATGTTTCTCTCTTTAATGATCCATCCTGGGGAGGAAATATCGCATATACTACATGTAATACAAAAAGTGACACATTATTTTTTTGTTGTCTGTGAGGTGGGAAGTACGAATACGTCCTGGTGGGTCCAGATGTGGCAGGAGCGTCAGAATTCAGTCAAACTGTCGGAGGTGAAATTGGCTTTCTGTGTGTTTGACCATGTCTCGGAGCGCCACAAAACCAGAGAGAGCCTACATCATCCAGGAGAGAAAACATTTAAATCAATGACAATCAATAAATTATGAAACCTAGAACTACACTGGAAATGGTAGAACTACAACAGTCCCTTATTGTACCTGTGTGAGTATGAATATGGCGAGAACTATGTGGACCCCCCTCTCCAGGGGCAGTATGAGAATGGCTTCGTTGAACAGCTGAAACAGGATGAGTGGAAACTGCAGCAGGATGCTCAGCAGCCAAAATCCAGCCAACTCTGGGACCTCCCCCCCCAAAAACACAGACGTTACAGGAGTTAAAAAACCTCTGCCTCGCACGTTTGTGTATGTTGTTATATCTTTATGTTTGTGTGAGTGATGTGTCACCTTTTCTTGAAGGTTCCCAGTGTAACCGAGAAAGAGTCTAATGGCCTCGATCAGAGTCATCACGATGAGAACAGTGACGAGGATGAACTTGTAGTAGTCTGGCAGGGCGGGATACTGGTAGAAACAATAAGTGGGCTTTTATGGCATTAAATATTCTCACTTGTTTCCAGGTCTAAACCTGACACTTACAATGAAATGAAATGCCAACTGATGTTATAATTACAATGGTTTATCACATGAAGCAGCCTTACTTACTTACTTTATCATCACAAATATCTTTTTTGGTAACTGGTACCACCATTTTTTAAGGTTTACATTTATTTGTCTCTGTTGTTCAAACACAGATTAAAGTCCCAAACTTTCACATGAACTGACTTCTAGCCACAGTGATTGTGTAGTCCGACATTAAAATAACAATGTAGGTGAATCTTGAGCACGAGATTTGTAGGCCAGAAGTACAGCAGTTTATTATAATGCTGTTCTCTCACACATTTATTTTACCTTCATCGAAAAACTGCAGCTTTTGAGATTTGCATATTGCACATGGCCCACATTGCAATTTCATTTCATTTTGCAGCCCTAATATATATATATATATATATATATATATATATATAAATGTACAAATTAGTTTATTTTTACCTTCTCAAGCTTGTTGTCCATGTTATCTAAGAGCAATACGCATACTTGGCCAATAAAAAGTGATTCCGACTCGGATATACTCTTTTACTGTAATTATAATGATTTATTTTCAGAATGCAACATTCCCAGTGTTTGACATTAACCCAACTTGCTCATCCAGTCTCTCTCTCCTCGCCTCCTATCTCACTTTCTCTCTCTCTCTCTCTCTCTCTCCTCGCCTCCTATCTCACTTTCTCTCTCTCTCTCTCTCCTCGCCTCCTATCTCACTTTCTCTCTCTCTCTCTCTCTCTCCTCGCCTCCTATCTCACTTTCTCTCTCTCTCTCTCTCTCTCTCTCCTCGCCTCCTATCTCACTTTCTCTCTCTTTCTCTCTCTCCTCGCCTCCTATCTCACTTTCTCTCTCTCTCTCTCTCCTCGCCTCCTATCTCACTTTCTCTCTCTCTCTCTCCTCGCCTCCTATCTCACTTTCTCTCTCTTTCTCTCTCTCCTCGCCTCCTATCTCACTTTCTCTCTCTCTCTCTCTCTCTCTCCTCGCCTACTATCTCACTTTCTCTCTCTCTCTCTCTCTCTCTCCTCGCCTCCTATCTCACTTTCTCTCTCTCTCTCTCTCTCTCTCTCTCCTCGCCTCCTATCTCACTTTCTCTCTCTTTTCTCTCTCTCCTCGCCTCCTATCTCACTTTCTCTCTCTTTCTCTCTCTCCTCGCCTCCTATCTCACTTTCTCTCTCTCTCTCTCTCTCTCTCCTCGCCTCCTATCTCACTTTCTCTCTTCTCTCTTTCTCTCTCTCCTCGCCTCCTATCTCACTTTCTCTCTCTCTCTCTCTCTCTCTCTCTCTCTCTCTCTCTCTTTGCCTCACCTTGAGGTGCAGCATTGTAGTTTCACTGATCCACCACAAGGGGAAGAACCACATGTTAAAGTACAGAGACATCTGGAGGTGGAGACTGGACAGGACCCGCTTGTCTAAAGAAAACAAAAGCAACAGAAAACACTTTCAGTAAACAGCAAACAAAGCTGGACCCAACGTTAACACTGCTAACTCTTCCATTAACGTTACCGTGAGGAGAAAACGGGTCGTTCTCCTTGGTGAGAGGTTGTGTCCGACTCTGGTCAAACAAAACGTTCCGAGAGAAGTCCTCTAAGCGTTTTCTGAGCGTCTCCGGCAGGTCCATCGTGTAAAATGCTCTCCGGTTAACGCAAACATCCCCTGAAGGAGAAGGAAACACACACACACAGCCTCTTCCTCACTGCAGAGACACACAACGCCGCCGTCGTCTCCCTGGATACCGAAGAAATCTCGCGTTCTGCTCAAAGTCTCGCAGGAAGGAATCTCGTTTGTGTGTTTGTTTGTGTCTCCTCGTTTAGTTTGAATGTAACTTTTAATTATTTTTCACTAAATTATTAACTTTGGAACATTTACAGACTATTAAAAAATAAAAAAATACTTTGTTGGCAGTTTTGTTTTAGATTTATATTTATGTGGAATAACATTATCTCTACTCTGGGTGTGGGAGGAGTTTTCTTGTTATAGGATTAGAGAAAGCACAATAAGAGATGAAACCCCTCCCATTTGAAAATCCCCTTTGGTTTCAGAGAAACTGAAAGGTAGAAAGTGCTGTGATTAAGATGGCAGAGAGCTGTAAAGAGCCACATTCTTTATCCTGCTCAATATGCTTGGATATTTTGAAGGGCCCTGTGACTCTTCACTGTGGCCACAGCTACTGTATGGCTTGTGTGAATGGCTACTGGGACCAGGAGGTCAGCAAGGGTGTCTACAGCTGTCCCCAGTGCAGACAGCTTTTCAGCCCTAGGCCCGTGTTGAACATGAACACAGTGCTGGCTGATTTGGCAGGGAAAATGTCAGGGGCAGGAGCACTCGCCCCTCCTGAGAAGGATGAAGTCGGCCCTGGGGATGTGGAGTGTGATTTCTGCACCGTGAGGAAGCTGAAGGCTGTCAAGTCTTGCCTGGTGTGTCTGGCTTCTTACTGTGCGACTCACCTGCAGCCCCACTATGAGTCTGCTGCTTTCAAAAGGCACAAGCTTGTGGAAGTCTCTGCCTCCATGCAAGATCAGATCTGCCCCAAGCATGACAAGCTTCTGGAGGTCTACTGTCGCAGCGATGGCCAGTGCATTTGTCTGCTTTGTGTGATGGATGAGCACAAAGGTCATGACACTGTCTCGGCTGCAGCAGAGAGGAAAGAGAAACAAGTAAGAAATATTTACTTAGTACTTGTAAGTGTGTCATATTGCTTCGAAAATCAATGTGGATTAAATTTTAAATTAGTTCTAGATGCTGTTTTAAACTTATGGGAGGGATATTAGGGATATTTAGGAAGTAACATCATAATGTATGTCTGTAAATGTGTTCAAAACACAATTCAACAGCAAATAAATCAGTCCCTTCAGGATTTTGCAAGCTTTGCCATAAAATGCCTGATTTCATTGCAGCTTTTCTAAAAAAAAAATACAATGCACGTTGCCATGTTTTTGTAAAATCTAAGGAAACATACGCTTGCAGCTCGGTGACATGTGGCTCAACATTTTGAGTGCTGGGCTGCTGTGATTGTAGAAACTGGCGGGGAAACTACAGTGATGGTCAAGTTTGTCGAAGGTTGCACAGGTTTTAATTGTTGCCACATTAAAACTTCCTGGAGAGACTGAGAAATGGTTTTATTTTCAGAAACAATTTGGAAAGAAGAAACAAAGATACCAGCATGGAATACAGGAGAAAGAGAAACAGTTGCGGCAGCTGAGGCAGAAAGTGAAATCACTGCAGGTGAATTAAACTTTCAGCAGACTTAAATAAATCTAACGTGTCCCTTTCCTTTAAAGTGACTGATGTTATTTGTGTTTTTGTCCTTAGTCTTCTGGAGCTGCAGCGGTTGATCAGAATGAAAAGGCCTATGCTGAAATCGTCCTGATGGCCGATAAAAGGCGCTGTGCTGTGAATGAGCTGATCAGAGATCAGGAGATGGCTGTGGTGAGCCGAGCTGAGGCGCTCATGGATCGGCTGGAGAAGAAGGTCTCTGAGCTGAAGAAGGGGGAGCGTGAGCTGAAGCAACTGTCACTCACTGAGGACCACATTCATTTTCTGCAGGTACACTGACAGTTCAGTTCAGTTTAACTTTATTTCACATATTAACATAAAAACATCAAAATACAATACATGGACAACAACATACATTTGTAAAATCATCAAAGTCCAAAGGGATTAAAACACATTTGTTCCAATGTTTCCATAAGATGAGTACCTCAGTAAGTAGGTGTAGTTCATGTTGTGTTTTTCTTTTACGTGTTTCTAGAGCTGCCATTCCATCTTTGACTGTCCAGAAACTGATGTGTCTGCTGATTTCAACATCCATCTGCACGCACCTTTTGACTTTGCAACAAAGGCCATTTCTAACTTGAGAGACAAAATGGAAAACTTGGCAAAAACTATTGCAGAAATGTCAGAGGAAAGTAAGAAAACACCTTTATTAAAAATAATGTTGTTTTTATCTGTAATTATGTGATATTGTATAAATAGTAAATTTACTAAAATGTCATGTTTTCTGTTTTTAGTTCAAGCTGATCCTGATCCCAAGACAGGACAGGAGTTCTCCCTCTGTGAGTCAACATTGAAGCCTGAATATCTTTGAATTTGCCACTGTGATTCTAAAAAGTACTTATGTTGTCACATCGAATAATAATAAATTCTACATTTCAGATTCCTGCCAACTCACTCTGGATCCCAACACGGCATCTGTAAACCTATTGCTCTCTGAGGGAAACCGCAAAGTAACCTGGGTTAAAAAAGCCCAGGGGTATCCAAACCACACAGAGAGATTTACCGAATACGATCAAGTGTTGTGCACTGAAGGTTTATCTGGAGTTTGCTACTGGGAGGTTGACTGGCAGGGGCCCAGGGTGGAGGTCGCTGTGTGCTATAAAGGGGCAGAGCTGGTAGAAAATGGCTTTGGATTCACAGACCAGTCCTGGTGCATTTCCCTTTCAAATCATGGTTCCACCTTTTGGCACGGTGGAGGCAAAACCAAAATATGCACCCCTTCCTCCTCCATTGTTGGAGTGTATCTGAATCATAAGGCAGGGAGCCTGTGCTTCTACAGCGTGTCTGATTGTGGTCAAATGATGCTCCTTCACAGAGTTCAGACCACATTCTCCCAGCCTCTGTACCCTGGGTTCATGGTCTCCAGAGGGGCCTCTGTTAGGATATTGTCACCAAAGTAACGGGCATCGTCTGTAATGGTTGTTCAAGTGCGGCATCTGTATTACAGTGTGTTAAACAGCAGTGCTTCACAGGGGTGTTCAAAAGTAGTGTCTGCTGAACATTTCTCATTATACTTAAAGTTTGATTATGTTCTTTAAAGTTTGATTATGTTCTTTAAAATTACCTATTTCTTTGCAAGGGAAAGGGCTGAAGATGATAATGGCACAAATGTTTGTGTGTATGTTACATGTTTCTCCTTCTGTGTTGAATCAGTTTTAACTGTAAACTTGTTACTGTTAAAGAGAGTATTTGAGTTACTAACGATTGTGTATAAATATTTTCATAACTAACAGAAGTCTCACTCTGCTAGATAATGTTTGCTAGTAAATAAAATCTTAAAACACTCACTGTCATTGTTTTTCCATATTCAATAAAGATAAAAACCCTTAAAAAAGGTGCAGATTTTCACAGACGAGTGGGACAACAACATAATTATGCATTTTGAGTATTCCTAATTCCTTACTTCACCAAAACCACAAAATTGGACAACTATGTCATGCCCTAACCATCCTAGGAAAATAATTTAAGCTGGCAGAACACTGCTGAATGGTGTAGCCTACATCAGAGGGGATTTAGAAGTGGATACACCCAATGGAAACTAAAAAATATAAGCATACCCTGCACAAAACCACTGGATATCCCTTGGTTATATGAAAATATTCATTAGAGCAACTTTAAGTATTTTTTAAAGGTCTCCAGTGTGTAATTAACTAAAGTCGAGGACTCTGGTAGAATTTGGAACCTCCACTTCCAGTTAATGTTTAACTTTGATAATGTTATGTACTTTGTTTCCCACTGACATAGAGCCACGTTTGAAACATTTAATTGAGTTCTGAGTTTAAAGTAAAAGAGAAACAGAATAAAGTCAGATAATAAAGTCAGAATTATGAACTCAAATAAATTGTGGTCCTTATCCTCTCCCGTAGACACTCACACAGACAGCACAGTCAGTGTTTGTGCCACAGGCTGCCAACAAGCCACTCCTCCTTCAGACAGAATGAAAGTAACTCCGACAGTCTGAGCGGGAGAAAATGGCTAACACTCAGGAACTGTTCGACTGCTCCATATGTTTACAGTTACTGGAGGATCCGGTGACGACAGCCTGTGGACACAGTTACTGTATGAAATGCCTCAATGCCTTCTGGGATAGAAATAATAACAGAGGAAGAAGTTACAGCTGCCCTCAGTGCAGGCAGACTTTCCACCCGAGGCCTGATCTGAAGAGGAACACACTTCTGGCTGATCTGTTGGAGGAACACAGGAGGGCAACTGGTCAAAGTGGTGCAGCTGGTGACACCTATGCTGCACCAGGTGATGTGCAGTGTGACGTTTGCGCGGGGAGAAAAAGAAAAGCTTCCATGTTCTGTCTCATGTGCTTGGCCTCTTACTGTGAGACTCATCTGAAGCCTCACTTTGAGGTGCCACCGTTAAAAAAACACAAACTGATTCAAGCCTCGGCGAGGATCAAAGACAGCATCTGTGGCCGTCATGACAAACTTCTGGAGGTTTACTGCCGCACTGATCAGCAGTTCATATGCCTGCTGTGTCTGATGGATGAGCACAAAGGCCACGACACTGTGACAGTTGCAGTACAACGGGGTGAAATGCAGGTAAGCCCCACGCTGAAGTGATTTCTGGCCCTGTCCTTTTAATGTAACAGGTTCTGAAAAGCTTCTGGATTTGTGTTTCAACAGAGACAACTGGAGAGGAATAAACAAGAAATCGCAGACAGAGTGATGAATTCAGAGAGGAAAATGGCAGAGCTGAGGCAGGCTGCAGACTCTATAAGAGTGCGTGACATCCATATGAATAAGTATTTCCTGTATTCATCAGTAAATGTTTTCATTTTTTAAAAATATTGATATAAGACAAAGTTCCTAGGAACTCCTGTTAAAAGGCAAAGCTGTCCTACAAAGAGGAAACGGGTCTAAACTGTGTTAGGCAATTGTTTCCTGCAGGACAGAGACAATGCTAAAAACATTCAGCCTCAGACACACAGAACGTAACATTTGACTGTGTCAGTGAATGCTTCGTGTTTACTGTGAATGTGTATCTAGCTGAGGCAATTTGTAAGTCTGCAGAAGTTGTTTTACATGATTACATAGTACATACATAGTAATCCAGTACAAATGCATTAAAAAATAAACAAATATCTACTTTTTTATACTACTAAGCCTGTATGTTTGCTATAACTGCTGTATGGCCTAGCTCAGGTTAAAGCCTCTGTAAAACATGAACAAATACATACAAAGAATGAATGCCGTAGAACTTTCCTTTATCACCAGTCGTAACTGGACAAACGGTTCATGTTTCCTACAAGGATGCCGCATGGGAGGCGTGTGACGACTTTGAGCGACAGTGTGCGGAACACATTCGTTTCTACACCCTTTTGGTGGAGAGGAAGTGCTCTGAGATGAGAGAGAAAGTTGGAGAAGCAGAGAAAGCTGGAGTGGACTGGACCGACAGTCGTCTCGGGCGACTGATACGTGAGGTGCTTGAGCTGAAGACGAGAGAGGATAAAATCAACCAGCTTTCACAAACAGAGGACCTCATTCAGTTCTTTCAGGTGAGGACATGTTTTCTGGCCCTTCACTTATAGAGTCTTTGAAAGTGCATGCCATTTTTAATCTAATTTATGCCTCTAAATTTAATTTAAATGTTGGGTATTTTTAATCACACAATGTTTTTATTGGCCTTGTGCAGGGTTTCCAGGCCCTGGGTGACCTCCCTGCATTCACAGACTCACATGAAAGACCTGACACACTGACAAAGTTTGTCACTGCACAGAAAGATAAACTGAAAAATGTGTGCAACAAAGGAAAGAAAGAATTAGTCACTCACTCTGAAGAAAATATGTGTAAGTTTGCCCAGTTTTGATTTCTAAACCTTGTAGTTACCCGTCTGGTCTGCTCTGTATATTTCCTGTTGTTGTACAGAGAGAATGAGAAAATGTATTTTTCTTTTCATAACAGTGTCAAAACTGCCAACGCTACATAAGGAAATAACATCAAGGACAGACCTGTTCACCAAACGTAAGAGTAAGCATGATGTTAATTCATTTTGCATAAATAACAGCACAAATATACACGAAAAGCTTAAATGTTTCATATTTTCCTGCAGGCTCCAAAATAGAGGTGGATCCCAACACAGTAGCAGCATGTCTTTGCTTGTCTGATGGAAACAGAGAGATATCGTGGGGTGGCAGGGACCAGGCTCACCCTGATAACCCTGACAGATTCACCTTCAATCACCAGGCTCTGTGCCAAAAGGGCCTTGAAGGGAGCCACTACTGGGAGGTGGAGTGGGACGGTGGCGTTGTCGATTTGGCTGTGTCATACAAAGGCATTAAAAGAAAGGGTTTGGGCAAAGAGTGCTGTTTTGGCCACAATGGTCTCTCCTGGAAATTAACGTGCTCTTCGTCCGGCTGCAGGTTTTGGCACAATAATCTTCACAAAGGCCAAATTCCTCCAGCTCGCTCCCGCAGAGTGGGTGTACACCTTGATTTTGAAGCAGGAAGACTGGCCTTCTACAGTGTTTCTGACACTGAAACGTTAACGCTGCTGCACCAAATCCAGACCACCTTCACTGAACCTCTATATCCTGGGTTTTCTGTTGATTTAGGTTCAACACTGAGAATATGCAACATCTAATCCAGTCTACATTAAAGCGGTAGCTGCGAGACTGGCTGCCATTTATGATAGAGGATAGAAGGATAGAAAAAAGTAGAAAAAAACATTAACATATGCAAAGTTTGGCGTGCGTGTATGTGTGTGTGTGTGTGTGTGAGAGATATGTATGCAGAAATTAGGCAACATATATGGATGATTTTGGAGTGATTGAGAATCTTGATTATGAATCAAGAAGTGGAAAATGGAAAATTCTTTTATAATATTTTTCCTCTTAAATGTTGCTAAAAAAAGTGCATCAAAAGATCTTTCTGAAGAGCATTTTCAGAGATGTGAAATTACATTTTATTGTTATTCACCAAATTTAAGGCCAATTATTCATTGCAATGATAATAAATTCTAAAAGGAACAAAACAGAAGATAATCTTTAAAACTCATCCATTTACAAATGTTGAGTCGATTTCAGAAAGCTTGAAACAGTTGAGAAGAGGGTTCAAAAAAAGATATTGCTTACTTTTATTATGAGCTAGTCCAACAAACTTTATATTGTTTCATTTGAAACTTTGCTGGTTGAAAACTTTATTTTGTGCTTTATGCTTTACAATGGAATAATCCTCATTCAAGCCTCACAACAGCGTGCAACTTTCAAATTGAACTTTAAGTTTCTTAGTAAATTGTTGTCTGGTTTATACTATGATGAGAGATGTTGAGTTTACATGTAGGCTGTGCCACATGACTGGTGTTATGGTGTGGCGTTTTTGTTGTGTCATTTGTTGTATGTTGGAGAACTGCAGTGGAAATAAGTCTTTAAGACTTTTATGTGTTTTAATCCTTGATGATTGTAACTAGTGTTGTACATATTCTGTGTTTTTAATAATCAGAAAATCAACAGAGCCGACTGACTTTCATTTAATTGACTAAAATAAAGGAAGCTTTGCTAATGATATGATTTATCATTTCTGATTCAGTGGGCTATTTTTTACATAAATCACAGCCCATAAAAAAAGTAAAGTAATGTAATAGGCCAAAGTTTTGGTCACATTCAGTATGGGAAATGTTATATGCACAAATTCTGTTACTATAAAAACAACAAAAATATTTACATTCCACGTATTTCATACAGTTCAGCCCACAATTTCCCACGTTTGAGATTTTGACATAACATGCAGCGCCAGCGCCGCTGACAAAGGTCACAATAAAGATCATAAAATAGATTCAATGGAGGCGGTTGTGTAGGAGCGATCTACAGTGTCGTAGAAGCGCAGACAGGCCTTGTAATGCAGCAGCTTCTCAGTCAGAGGGCTGATGGTCAGTGCTTTACCCTGCACACTCAGGTCTATGTACCTGGGCAACATCAGGGAGACAAGAAAACACACTTAGAGCCATGATACACCACATTTTAAATCAATAGAGAAAGGATATGTTTGTGCCATTTAACCATGGTTTCTTATATTCAATTATGGGAACACACATGGCTGCTGAAATTCCCCACAAAATGTCTTCACCAGCTGTTGAAAAGCAACTACAATGGACTGTAATACACCTGAAAATGGGTCACACAGTGCAATCCATATATAAAAGTGTTCATTATGTGCAATAATAATCTAATTGTAACTTGTATTCCACTTTATAGTCCAGGTAGTTAGAGGTAATACTGTACCTGTAAGATACCCTCCAACAAACAAGGGTGTTTATAGCCATCAGTGTGGCCAAGAGGAAGAAGAATCTCTCCAGATTCCCATCATGCAGTGTGTTTGGGTAGAAGTTACCTGTAATCGAGTATTACTGTGGTCATATCAGACATCTTGATAATTGGATAAAAAACAAGTGATACAGTATTTGTATTAATTTTACCTCCAGAGATGAAGTACACCAGCTGAATAATGAAAGCTCCGAGGAAGCAGCCCCCTCCATAGGACAGAGTGAGGAAGTGCAGGGAGATCCCTCTGATGTGGCTCGGGGTCAGCTGGAAAGAAATCAGGGAACCTGCCAGAGAGGAAGTGACGGCAGAAATGTTAGATAATCTTTCCTGCTGCGTATTTGTGACATCCAGGACAACAACTGTGACCAGGGGAAAGTGTCATGTGTTAACTTTTGGGGAAAGATGCACCATGTAAGATAAAAGAATAAATACTGGAGTCTGTTCCTCACATGCAGGGGTGACGAGAGCCTCTGCGAGACCGAGTAGGATATACTGAGGAGCCAGCTGGAAACACGGCATGGCCGACACTTGCAGGACTTTTCCAGACAGAGTCTGCTCCACCAGAGGGTATGTCTTCCTATATAGCTCAGACAAACCTGCCACCAGGACTGACAGAGTGGCACACGCATGGCCCAGAGCTGGAAGGGGAGGATGGACAGGGGAGGGGTGATGAGAGAGGGGGCTGCAGAATAATTACAGGAGGAAAGAGGGAGGATGAGAGAGGCAGATGAGCGAGAGAGAGACATAGGTATGTTAGGTGAAAACATTACAATTATATGTGCATTAGTAAGGGATGTGCACATAGAAATACTCACTGATGACTTTTGCAGGTGCCAGAGGAGTTTTTTCCATGGAGAGGTAGCAAGTCGTCACACACTCGATCAGTGGGGCTAAGAGCAGCAGAGGTAGGATGCTGATCACATTCATGGCACCGATGGGCAACAGGAGGTCGTTCAGATGCAGGTTTGAGTTCATCGTCTGTATGTAGTAACCTGAGGGAATCTGTAGGAAACATGTTCTCCATGGAAATCATCCTTTTTCATGCTTTATAATGAAGACCCATTATATCCCCAGTGACTTACCTGTGTGACGCAGGCTCTGTACAGCAGCTGAAGCCCGTAAAGAGGGAAGAGCTTGGCCAGGACTTTGACATTCTCTACATGCGTTTCGCTGTAACGGCCACCATTGTTCTCCTTGGCCCGGTCCAGCCAAGATGTTACATCTCCACTCAGGTGGCGATAGTGGAGGCAGCACATCTTGAGAGAGTTCAGGAAAACTCCCAGTGTGGTCAGCAACGATCCACCTATGACAAACACAAAATGGTTCATGTATATTTAAGTATTTCAAGTAAGTATTGTCTGAATACCAGTTTTTATGTATTGTATACCTTTCTTGGGTTTGTAGGTGAGTTTGTTCCGCATCATGTGTATGGCGATTAGAGCAAGCAGCACAGAGGTGAAGGGGATGAGGAAGGCGAGATTTTTGGCCACAGACTGCTGGATGTAAGCAATGCCCAGAAACACCACGGTGGAATTCAAGTTGACCAACCAGTAGAACCTAAACATAAATAAAACAAATATCACACACACAAGTTCTTCATTTCATTAAAATGTGATGGTAGAAGTCACAGATTAACATACGAGTAGGTGGAAAACACATCATTGTTTTTAGCCACGTTAGGAATGGCACTTTTTTGGTCCAATGTTCTGATTTACATTCATGTTCTTGTAGCCTCCTTTATTTCCTGTTGCACCAGTCTAGCCAGAATTTCAGTGCTATGTGAAACACATTCTAACAGGCAATATTATGGCCAAAATGTTAACTGTGTACTAGTTGTTTCAACCCAGGATCCCCATTCTTCACATATCTTATGATCTTCAGATATTATGTCATTGAAATCTTCATGCAGAATAACTGAATTGTAAAAGTGTAAAGAACCTCTCAAATGATGATTAAACATAACTAAGAGAATGACTGTATTCAGATGGCAACCACCACCCACCAGTTGAAGAAGGACAGGAGCTGATGCTGATTGTAGGTCTGTAGGCTGTAGGCTCCCATGGGACAGAGGATGGCCCGGATGCCGCCGATGCCCAGCGCAGCAGCCAGGAGGCCGGTGTAGAACAAGATCTGCTGCTCCCGATGTTCCAGCTGGTGCGTCATGTGATGAGTGTCTATGTAGAAATCTTCAAATGGGAACGCCACCACGGGCAGCATGGCTGTGCCTAGAAAGTATGTTGACAGGTGGAAGTAATTTACAGCTAGATTTCGAACCAGAGTGTGACTTCACGGAAGCAGGGCCATGACTAAGCGCCTAAACAGAATTACTGAGGCTCTTGAAATGAGCTTACAGTAAAGAATCATAATGACCAATATGTCAGATGAATGTACCATTTCCTTCAGATAAACATTCAGATAAAAATCATGTCTTTTAAACTGGCAGATTTGACCCCTATCCCTCCCTGCCAACCACACTTACTTCCTTTTCTTGGCTTTGAAAAAGAAATCAAAATTGAATCAAGGAAAAGTGAGAAAATAACATAAAAATAAAAAAAGTTTGATAGTTTTACAGAATTAAAAAATATATAGAAATTTGATGACATTAGACCGCTCCACTAAGGGTCTCTAATGCTTCATATGGGATTGCAAGGCCTTCTTGACTTTAAGGGGTGTAAGAAAACTTGTAGGCCTATATGTCAGCGTTTGGTTCACTTCTATGAAGAAAAGTAAATGCAAAGTAAAGTCACTTGTCTAATAGAATAATGGCCAAGCGGTAAGGACAAGAAAACTGTGAATTTGTCAAGAAATAAGTCTATTAAGTCTGTATGATTGTTTAAAATAAAAAGAGAATTGTATAAAAAGTTCCCTAAACAGGAAAACTCCAAAGTTTTACACAAATTTCCTGCATTTACTGAGTTCAGTATTTGGGTTAATTGTACAGTTTTGAATATATAATATGAAATATCCATAAAATATGTCACTTCGTCAGAGCTCATCACTTTACCAAATGATAGAAAAGGGGTCCCTTAAGGAAAACGGTTGGGGACCACTGCATTAGACAACATTTATCATCCTTTAACTCATTGTTTCTTACCAAAGAAATGAAGGAAAGCACACAAGTAGAGCACCTTGCTCCTTCCCAAGCAGGTTTCTGCGAACCACCCGACCAGAACGGGGGTCAGGGTGCTGGCTCCTACGAAGCACAGGTTGACAGTCGCAGCCAGGTAGTAATCATAGCCCAGCTTCACAGTGCAGAAGAGAATCATGTTGCATACAATCCCAAAGAAAGTGAATCTTTCACACAGCTCCACAAGCAGTACACAGATGATAACTTGGAGCTTCTTGCGGGACTTCCTTGGTGGTCCCTGGTCTGGACAAGGGGTCCGGGAGAGTCGGCGCAGTCGGCTTCTGCCCTCCGGCAGCCTCTGGATGTCCCCCATCAACCTACCACCTGCCCCAGAGAACTGGCTGCTGGGCTGCTTGGTAGTGAAACACACACAGAGCTCTGAAGGCCCCTTCAAGGATAGGAGCAGCAGAGGCCAGAGCTGGAATCCTTCACGTTGGTGTGACTGGAGCTGGACTGGAGACACGTAGCATCAGACACACCTACCTGCATTCTGCACGTGCTGGTGGCTGATTATCCTCCTGCGTCACCATCTTACTCAGAACTGTGGACGCCTCACAGGGATCTGACACATTATGCAAAATTGTATCCAGGAGGAGTTGATGGATGGAGGCGATGTAGAGAGCGACCCAGAAATATTTCTATAATTACCAACAAGATACAGACATGTGGTCAGTGTTTGTTTAATTAATGACTTATACAGAGTAGTGGTGGAAAGTAATTAAGTACATTTACTCAAGTACTGAACTTTTGAGGTGTTTTTTACTTGAGTAATTCCATTTTATGTTACTTTATAGGCAAATATTACACTTTTTACTCCACTACATTTGTCTGACAGCTTTTTAGTTGTAAATTCAGATTATTAAAACTTATTATACTTACTTATACATATTATACATACAGTAAAATTAGCTCCATCTTTTCCAATCCAGTGATATATTGTTCTGAAATGGACCATTCTGTATGATGAGCTCTTTCACTTTTGGTACTTTGAATATATTTGATCCAAATACTTATCTTACTAAAATACAATTGAAATATAATTTAATTTAATAATTGTTAAAAAAAATAAAATAAAAATAACATAAAGGACACAGTCTACTGCCTCATGCTCAGATTTGTGGAGGGAATTCAGCTGGAAAAGCATTTTAACAAAAAGCACAAAGCAACAAACCTGAACATGGTCAGTGTGGTATAAAATATGCTGGTTATTTTCATATTGTTGGTCTTGTCCTAATATTTCTTCTTGATGTGGTAACAGAGATCAGATCAATCAGCAGCCCGGGGCTTGATTTTAATTTCAGTGTCACTTGTCAACTGGACTGAAAAAGTAGGACAGATGTTTATTACAAATACTACTAAAAGGTAGCAAAGAAAGCAATAACCAGGAAATAGGGGAGTAAAGAGTCTCCCACAGTCTTTGAATGGATAGAAATAGTAATAATAGGAAATGTATGCCATGGAGTGACTGACTTTTTGCCTCAGACGACGCCACCAGAAAATGTGAAAAATATACTTGAAAAACTGGAAATCTTATTTGAATCTTAAGTGATTTTGTTACTTTATATTTGTTTTATTTCGTTCTGTACTAAGGCCAGCAGAAATTACTTTTGGTTATGAATGAGTAACCAAAAATCCCCTGGCTTTACAGATCATAAGGGCCTCTATGATTTCAATGGACAAAAGGATTTTATACTTCAGTGTCTTTTTTATTTCCTTTTTTATACAATGTCAAGCATTTCATCTTACCTATGTTAAACCCTGTCTGTTGTCTGTCTAAAATACTAAAAATGAAGTTAAAAATGGTAAACAACAACTCAAGAACACACCATTGTGCCTATAGGCAGTGGGCTTCAGCATTAAAAGACATAAAACAAGACACAAATTAATGTACCGCTGCTTACAAACACTCACAAAATGCCACATCTCTTTGTGAAAGCAGCCCTTCGGTGTACAAGCACATTTTGGAGGGGCCGGCTGGTAATTAGACTGATAATGTTAAGTGGGAGTGAGACAGAGTGCACGGGCAGGTTGACTTCAACTGGATCAGACCTGCTACAGACAACAACTGTCTGTTATTACTGTAAGGGTGTAAACATATTGTCTGCAGCACAAGCAAAAGAAAACACACAGCAAGGAAGCGCTCACCAGAATAACACTAGGATATAAGAGTACCTGTTCACATAGGAATATGAACAACAAATATAATTTAAATGGTTTCTTTTCCATTTTTTTACTCAGAAATGTTTGGTGTGACCAAAATCTTTATCACTAAAATTAAGAATATGCAACAAGATTGTTTTCTGTGGGTCTAAATATTCTCCTCAGATGTTTAAAATGTGGATATTTCAGTAGAAAGTCTGTGAAAACATCACTAGTTCGAGGTAAAATTTTAAGAAATCGCAAAATTAAGAGATTCAAAATGTAAAAAAAGATTTATTGTAACTGTCTATATATAACTCCAAACCTAAGTCATATTAAGATGTAAAAAATAACAACATAAAAGTACCAATATAAGATAACATACTGGATAAGAAGTGTGGGATAATATAATATATATATATCTTTTATAGCATTACTTATCAGTATCATTTATTTAGCTATGGGGTGTGGTATAGGGCAGACACGTAGGTTATTTATTTATATTATTATTATTATTAATCTGTATGAGCAGATAAAAGTTGCATCTTTTTTACATTTACATTATTCTGTTTATTTTGTCAATTTATTTATACATTTTAATTTTTTCTATTACTTTGTTTATCTATTAATACATTTAATTCACTTTTATTATTTACCTTTTTCCTATTCTAAGTTGTCATCTTTCCCTGTTTCAGGAGACAGCGTTTCCTCACTTCGTGTTTTTATTGATTACAAAGACACTTTGTGAGTGTATGTGTCTGATTGATTGATTGATTGATTGATTGATTGATTGATTGATTGATTGAAGTCTCGTGTATCAAAACAGCGTAGCGTCGAGCATCGCCATGGTTACAGAAACAGCGTCCAGTTGAGCGTGGTGTATCATGGGAAACGAGTCGTTAGCGGATGAGTCGCAGCGTTGGTGAGCGAGAAGAGGACTACAGCGAGGCTTTTCTTCAAACATACGCACCAAGGTAGCTCGCTGAAATGTTCACAGTTTTATTTGGAGTGAGCAGGGAAGCGGTACACACCACGTACAACGCGGAGGTCGCAAATACTGAGCGTTTAAAGCTGAGTATTTGCGACCTCCGCGTTGTCTAAAGCTAAATGAGCTAACCTGGCTAGCCCCCTCCAGTCGAGTGCGGACGTTAGCTCAACTTTGTTTACATCTTTAAACATCAGTTTGTTTTTGTTTATTGTTCCTAAAAGTTGCATAGGTTTATTGGACGTCTGTGTTATAGATAGCAGCCCCAAACTCACACATAACTCACTCCCAATCTCATGTGGCCGACGTCTTTTTTTTCTTCGAAGCAAACATCGGCTCGTAATGTCCGGAGGGAAGATGCCGACCTGTCCTGCGTCCGCGTCCGATGGCTTCAGCTCGACCCCTGTTAAAACCAGCCTGGGGAAAGACGTCCACACATCCAGGGGCTCGGACGACGGTGTCCTATCCGATGAAGAAGACACGTTTTCTCTGCTTTCTCCCATCTATCACGACAGTTTTGACAGCGATGAAGATGTGGAGGGCGGCGGGGCTCAGCGGACTTCATCCGGACTCAGCGGCTCACCGGTCAGGTACTGCTGAGTTTGAGATACTCAGGGTTCCCACACACAGTCAGGGAAACATCTGGAGATTGGTTAAAGTGACCAAAATATCCTGGAAGTAACCAGTTTTTTTTTTAAATTTGTGAAGCCATGCACAGTGATGTTACTTTGTAGGTGCAGCAACCACTTTCAGCTTCTTCTTTTAATATAATAACAGGTAAGAAGATTAATTTTAGGTAAAAATGAAATTCTGCTTAATTTGAACTGTTAATTACAGGCTCTGGTCGAAGTAATATCTCAGAAAAACAGGAAAAACCAGCAAGTGAATGAATGTGGTGTCTCCTTCACACTGACCACCTACCTGTTATGAACCTGAGACACTTCATCGTGAACCTACAGCATTAACAAAGGAGGAAAACTGGGGTTAAATGCATCAATACTAGGTCTAACTGTAAATTATATAACCATTTGTAAGTAAGTGCTGTCCTGTATTTTCAAGAAAATTATTTCTTAAAAAGAGCGGGAACCCTGCCTATGAACTGAGTCAAAGACCATTGAGGGCATGATTCATACAGACAATCTGTAACAGTAGAATAGAGTAGAATATGTATAACTTTAGATCTGTTTTTGTTTTAAGATGCGAGCTACCAAGAACATCTTCAGAGCAGATGATGAATGCAGCTGTGGAGTCTGCAGGCTCACCTAATCTCAGTGCATGGGAAATGTGGCTGGTGATCAAAGCCAAGGACGAACGTCTCAAACTGGAAAAGAAAGCAGAGGAGGCAAGTTTAATTATTATTTATGCCACTGTATAACTGCAGCAGTGCTTACTTTCCTTTGTTTTTTTGTACAAGGCTAGTCATAGTTCCCCCCCTCTTATTTACAAATAATTGTTCTCCCAAATGTCTTATTACATCCTCTCTGAGTCTCATCCTGTCTTCTTATATACTTTGAATTAGAAGCGGATACTGAAGGAAAAGAAAGAAAGAGAAGAAAGGCAGCAGGAACGGAAAAAGATTGTCATGGAAGAGAGGATCCAAGAATGGCTAAAGATGAAAAGAGAACAGGTAGACAGCTGCTCCTTTAAACTCAAACCACACAAAGCATAATAGCAGATTGACTGTAATTGGTCAGACTTTTGCCCCAGTGATCTCAAACTGTCCAATGCTGACATGTCTATTATTTCTTTTCTTCTTGCAATCCCAGGAAAAGTACAAGCAACTTGTAAACCAGAGCAAAGAGGAGGAGATACAGAGGCAGCAGGAAAAACAGAGGGAGATTGAACAGAAAGCTCAGCAAAAGTACAAAAACTGGCTGCAGAAGAAGAACCAAGAAAAAATGGAAATGGAAAAGAAGGAGAAAGTAATGTGGATCTTTTTAAAGTTATTCTGCTTTCAATGAAAAAAAGTTAAATGTTATTCCTGCCAGATTCTGTAAGGTCCTTTTTTCTTGTCAGGAGGAAGCTGCCCTGAAGGAGCAGCAGGAGAAAGAGCGCCGCACGAGGGCAGAGGAGAAGTTTAAGGAATGGGTGGCAAAAGCCAATGAAAAAAGCAGAGCGAGTCCCAAATCACCTTGCTACCCAACAAGTAAGTCATTTCAGTCATCTGGGAATTATTAACTATGTTCTTTCTATGTTTCGTTTTTTAGATTAATTGATAAATATCTGTTTGATGCAATCCGTCATCCTGGAACAGTAGCAGTA